ACCAAGAGGTGCAGGATGCGTTGCGGGCGCATACAGAGACGGCAAGAACTCACTCGACACAATATCGCCGTCGCAAACAATACGGTCGTTCGGCGCAATGGACGCACGCAGTTACACTCGATCGCAACGGTTTGCGCTGGCGATGTTCATCTTGCCTCGGTTGACGATTTGAGACGGATGGCCTGCTCGGGATTCTACTGATTCGACGAATCACATTCTATGAAGCGTTACGAACTCGGCTCGGAGTCCAAGACATTCGCTAGGCGCCTCGCTTTCTGGCTTGTGCGCATGACTTCTTCAAGATGGCCGCCTTATCGGACATGTCCGTCTAGCCTGGGACTCCAGAGCGTGGGGCCGGCAGATGGGCCGAGCTGCTGATTCTCAGCGGGTCGTGGTGCGGAAGTCCCCCAGGCTAGAGGTACTAGCCATTCAATCGGGCTCCAACTGCGAACCGTGACGGTTCATGGTTCTAGGATCCTTCGCGAATTCGATTTGCGACCTCATTGTGCCGAGTCGTCTCGAGTGGAAGCTATGCAGCGGAAGGCTGAGGGACTTGAGGACGCTGTCCTTTGGGCAGAGGACCAGACATCTACTTGACGCGGCACTGCTCTCAGACGTGCAGAGATCGCCTGGACCTTCCCTCTCCTTGTCGTGCAACATGGTTCTGGTCTGTTCCACAGGATATCTGCAGCTCGTGCTGAGCGATGATGTTTCGAGGATGCACACCACATTGTGTAGGCACAAGTTCTGCGACGCTATCTGTGGCATGTCCGCCTCTTGGTTTGTGTAGCATGTCGCAGCAAGTTTGGTTGGTCAGGTCATGGGCACCGTCAGCGTCGAGAAGCCTGCAGATTCGAGGAAAGAATGAGGATGGTTGCCCATGCGGACGATCGTGGTCGATAGGACAGCCCCGTAGTGAGCTATTTGATATGAGCTTCGCCAGAGTCTTTCCTCCACCTTTAGTCGTTGAGGGCATAAACGAAGAAGAGAGTGCACACGGTCCTGAATTAGACCACTGGGCCTTGAACACCCCCCGCAAGACTTGTCAAATAGCTTGCCGACAACTTCCTCATCCCAACGCGTCGGGCGACCTCGGAAGATCGAGTCGTTGAGTCGCGAATCAAAATTCCAGAGATTGTCGTGACCGCAAGGTCTGCAGCCCGAGAAAGTACATAACGCCGCCTCCGAGTTGACAGCATTTGAAGAACGGTAGATGCCACTGCACACTTCGTGTCGCTCCTGGACTTTTGTTGGGTATCGCATACTGTGAGATTTCAGAGTGAGGTTCCTCAAGCTCAGCTCGTAGCAGTGGTGGTGGTTTTGAAGCAAAAATTAGTATCGGACGAATTCGGCCGATGACCTAGCCGTGAGCCTTGAAAGCTTGATACGTCAGACTGCCGAGTGATGCCTCCTACTTTCACAGCAGTATCGTGTGGGTCCCGATGTTCAGCTGGAGAACTTGTGTCTCTAGTTCGATTCTCAGCTCGGGTGCTCTCTTCAGCTCTGTTACTCGCTCTGTTACTCGATCGATAATCAGGCAGCCGACCCACCGTCTTCCTAGTCTCGTGGCCGCTCGTTCTCCAAGCTCAAAGAAAAAGGGAAACGAGAGAGCCTTTGAGCGCCGTTCAGCTTGAAAGATCCCTGCATTGGTCCCGATGCTTTACAGCGGTTCTGACTTGGATGAGAGGGCGATATCGATGATGATGAGCAAGTGCGATATCAGGAAGAAAACAGGGCATAAGCGCTGGCTGGAAGATGTACTTTCAGCCTCGCTTAACTTCTCTCCGACAAATTTGCAGCACATTATACTCGATGCGCATCTTGCTTCAGCCGAAACATTCGCGAAATCACCTCCACGCACACCAATCGCTCCGCTCGAGGGAGTGTTGCGAACGAGCAGCCAACGTCACTACTCAAGTCACTACTCGTCCTTCAGTGTCTCGCTAAAACGTTGTGTGCTGCATATTTGTTGTCGAAGTCTGGCTGTATGCGGAAGAAAAATGACGATCGCCTCTGAAAAGCGACGAGACGATCCGGGCGCCTACCGATCTCGTCCGAGGGCCAAACATTGTCGAGGGCGCTCTCCAAAGGCTCGTCTACATCTCAACATCTCATTCATGCGAATTTGACGATTTCTTTTCAAAATCAGGACTCAACGTGCATTATCAGCTCCAAGCGTCGACTGCTCGACCGCGCTTTGATCAAGCCTCACCGCATCGGGATATACCCAGAATACATCGGTAGCTCTTCCGTAAGTGCTGGTTTTTTCATGAAAGAGAGTCTATGGCTCACGATTTGGACGGGCCAGGCGCGATCGATCCGTCCCGGGATTTCCGCTTTTGGTCGCGCTTTGAGGCTCTGGCGCAGTCCCCGTTACATTTCTGCCTGTCGCATTGTCAGACCTATTCCGCCACTCTGCTGGCCGTTGGAGAGGCTTTGTCTATGTTCTGGCGTTTGGAAATGCGGAGACGCGTTTGTTTACAGCTATTTGAGGGAGCCGGAATTCCAATCTCTCTCTGCTTTCGCCGCGATTGCGTTTGCGTGCATCCCTCCCTATCCTCGTCTCCATCAGCTCCTACCATGCCAAATTCGTCGTCCTCGACTCATCGCTTGGACGGGGCTTCGAACGGGCACGATGCAGATATGTTGAACCTCCAGATGTGGAGAGAGCAACTGGCTCAAGAGTGCGCTCATTTTCCACACATATGACCTCCCTACTCACTGCTTTTTCTAAGAGTTATGAACAACGGCACGAGTGATATCGTGGGCGAGGGCACATCGACGTCCTGGGCCACCGCTCCACCCTTCAACAACCTACACACAGCGCAAGATTATTTGTATGTTCATGCCACCATGTATTTCGTGTTCTCCGTGCTCATGAAATCCACCCCCCTTGTCAGTCTATCCAGTGGATTCGCCGACACTGCAGGAAACAATGCGTCCAGAGGGGGTAGCTACCAGGAACCTGGGTTCGTGTTGTGCTCCGGTATCACTGATTCAAACTGCTCATTCCGAATGTCCAGCATCATGCTCAACGAAGTTGATGGTCGGGACGCGTCCGTCACCTGGCCCAGGGGTCCTGCCACAGTGCCTGATGTCTCCGCCTTCGATTACCGACCATCATTTGGGTTGGCCCACTCTCCGTCCATCTCTTGCATCACGTCGCTCACAGAAACCTCACTCGCTCCCAGATCGGGTCCTACACAGAATGTTCATAGGAACGCAAACCTGTACAGAGGCGAGAATGGGTACGGGCAAAGGTGTTTATCTATCTCGGATCGATGATGTTCGCTGTAATCATGCGCATTTCACAGTCGCGTAGCCAATTATCCTTCCTATGCGCACACCAATCTGGAGGCGATGAATCCCCGGTCAGTGGCTGGCCCGTCCGCTGTATCGATGCGCCATCCGTACGTTCGTTTGAGGCTCATAGTGTTTGGAACCTAATGCATTTCCAGTGCTCCATGCTTCGCGCCTACGTTGGCTTACGACCATCGGCAGCACAGTGACACTAGGCTCGATCACAGTATCAAGTAAGTTCTAAACGTCTCGATATGATTATCTTCTAACATTACTTCAGTCCAGGATTTCCGGCAGTGCCACCTCGGCCACCGCACTACGCGAGCTTGAGCTCAGGACAGTTCCCATCCTGGGATCTCAGCCAGCTGCCCCAGCTGCATCGAATGTATCAGCCGTGAGCTGGGCTTGGTTTTCTTTTTTCTCCGTGACTCAGGTTTTCTAGGATGAGTTCGACGGATCGACAATATCCGCAGAATTTCGACCAGCCAAGCATGATGGCTCCATCGACTCGGAGAGCCAGTCCCCACTTTGCTGACAGGTGCGTGTACTGTACTAGCCCCAGCTTCCCGCCTTCATACACTGATGTGAATGCTCGTAGCCCGGAATCCGATCTCCAGTCTGCCGCTGACACCACTCCTCCCCCGGCGGCGTTCACCACTCTCCCGGCTGCCTCTTCGCACCGATACGATCCATGGTGGGGTGCTGAACCTTCCGCTGCGGCAACGCTCGCGCCTCCACGCGACTGGAGCTACGATCGCAACGCCAGCCGTTCTTGTGTCGAAAGAAGATCTGCAAGACCATTCCGGCCATACCATGTTGCTGAATCGAGTGCTGCAGCCGAAGCTCACTATACTCCAGCGGAACACGTACAACCGGTCCCACTCAGGGCGGCCCGAAAACCGAAGCAGCTAGCACCCGACCAGAATCCTCTCAACCAGATCAGATGCCAGATGCCGCGTATGGGCCAGATGCTCACTGTCTCCCCGTCAATCAGCGATACAACGACGGACGACATGCCCAGCGTTTCGACAGCCGGGACTCCGCAAGCGCCTGCCTTCGAAGAGTGCGGTGAGATGATCGATGCCGAGCTAGTCGCGAAGCACCTCCGGAAGCATGTGCAGGCCGACGGGCCGATGTGCAGGTGGGGAGGCCGGTGCAGCCACGTCGTTGCTGCTTCGAATCTCAACGGCGACTTTGTTCGCCATGTCAAGAACCGCCATATGAAGCTTCTCAACCTGTGCGGACTGTGTGGCGAGTATCTGACAAGGGGCCAGAAAGAGAGGCATGGCTGCGCCGAAGTGAAGAGGGGTTTCAAGATGGCGAAAAGAGAGACGGTGTGAAGATAACAGAATCGATCTGCGTGTATTGATCAAGTCCTTCGGAAGTGCCTTCGTGGTTTCATAGTGTAGCGGTTATCACACAAGATTCTGATGTTCATCGTTCTTGAGATCCCGGTTCGACTCCGGGTGAGACCTGTTACTGCCGAGCTCATGCCTTCTTTTTCGCACTTCCTTTCATTTACCCCGACTATTCACGATATCCAGGTCCAGTGCCTCAATCGTCTTGCCCGGGCCTGCTGCCGGCCAGCCGATCTAATTGATTGACAGACGTTACCCCCTTATGACCACTGTGCAGCGGAGAGTTCGCACGTGATGCAGCCTCAACGACTCGAACTTGACCTCAACCATCATCAACTGACAGGAGCATCCAAGGATGTCCTTCCGTAGCCCTGGGCTTGTATCGTTTGCTGGCCTTTCGTGTGCCTCCGCCGCAAGCTTTTGGCACTCGACAACGCCTCCATTGCTGCTCTCGTTCGCCATCTGAGCGCGATGAGATTCGACATGCATCGAGGAGAACTCGCTTGCGTCTGCGTCTTCACGTCCATCGTGTCTTCCCACAGAAGACCCTCCGACTCCTTGGACACTCCCTTCACCCGGCTCTCCGCTGACGGAGTCCAGTTCCGGCTGTCCTCGGTCGGTGTGCGAAATCCAGTGCCGAGCTTGCCACGCGGATCGGCCGAACGCCCGCAGGGACCTGGATGGATGGAGGCGCTGCGCTCGCCTGTGCGCAGCTTGCTGCCCGGGATGGGCTGCGCTATACCTGTCTGGGCTGTTGCAGTGAGGAGCTGAACGTGCCTGCTCGGGGGCATGAGGGACAGAGTGCGTTTTCGGCTTCCGGATGAATTTGCAGAGAGCGTCATGCTGGAACACAAATCATTTTCGACTTTCTTTGAGTGAGGATGGACTGCTTTGGTCGTGGAGGGCGTATATCGCCCGTTCACAGCGCATGGCGACTTGTGTTCGACAAGCTTCAGCCTGCGATGAAACGTCACCACGCACTACGTCTTCTGCCCGACTCAGGGTGGATGGATTCGACTTCAAGTGCGCCCAAATGCCTGCTCGGTTGGGTAATAACTGTAGCGTGAAACACGCACGATGTGCTGTACGAAAGAAAGTAGAGGTTCATTCGAGTGCTGCTATCGAATGTCTTCACTGTCCTCATCCTTGTTCTCAAACAACTTCGGGTCCGACTTTCGTTGTCATCGGCGGAAATCCGATCCTCATACTTGCAATTGGACGAAACAGCCGGTCGCGCCACATCTGACGTTGTCGGACCGCTGCTTTTTGACCATGCACGTGCATGCCCCTCATGGCGGCTGCAAGACTTGCATGGAGTATTCAGGAGGGATTGGTCAAGCCCGAGAACGTGTGGGGCGGAGGAGGACAGTTGCCGGTGCGCCCGACTACGTTCGACTGCAGTTAGCACCGCTGACGCGGACGTTCCAGCATGAGCGAACGAGCTTGAATGACCGACTCGGCCGACTCGATGTCATCCGGCCGGCCACCGATGACCCAAATGGCCCGAATTTTCTGGATCATGACGTCATTCTTGCAAATCATTTCCTAGTTTTTGACTCCCTAGATCCGTCCATCATGCCATGCCCAGTCATAAAAGGAGCTAGCGGTCTTCATTTCTTCCACTTTTCATCGTCTCATCTTCAAGGACACCACATCACCTATCCGAAACATGGCCGATCGCTCGACTTCTCGTGGACGGGAGCCTGTGGTGCGTCTCATCGGTATTGAGCTTTTTGTTGACCCTCACCCTTTGGCCGTAGACTTCTTCCGGGCGCGGTGGACTGGGCAACATGCGCCCCTCCTCAATGTCGCTCGAGCGTCCCACCACAGGTCCTGATGACTTTTCTGACACCCGTGGCCGCGAGCCTCCCGTCTCCATTTCGGAAATCCGCTCCACTGGCCGGGGCGGTGCAGGCAACTTCCGCTCTCCCTCGCGCGAACCACGGGATAACCGAGACGTCCGTGTCCCTGCTGAGCGCGAAATCATCAAGGCGCATGAAGAGCTGGAGCAGAATGCGCTGTTCTCAACCGGCCGGGGCGGGGCAGGAAACATGAGCCGGTCGCGTTCGCGAGGACCCGAGGGTCTAGCTTTCCCGCCCCATTCCGCTGTCCCTGTATTGCACTCGAGTGGGCGAGGCGGAGCGGGGAACTTTGCGCCGGGACCGGCGCCAGTTTTTGAGAGAGGACGCGCACCGGTGCCCGAAGGAGTGTGCGTTCCCTACTCTGGCGATCTTGGTCGCGCGGTGGCTTACGCGATCTTGCAGGCATTCGACGGGCCGCGGTGGTCTAGCGAATCTGCCAACTTCTCCCAGCTCCAGTCCCGCTCGGAGGGCGGTTCGTGCACACCAGGAGCCGGGCGAGTATCAGCGCTCCGGACGTGGCGGTGCGGGCAACACCCGAGATCGCAGCTCCAGTGCGGGCCGTGAGCGCAGTGCCAGCAAGGATCGCCTCGCTGGATTGTGGAGCAAGATCTCGCATTCGCATCCGGAGACGATACACGAAGACGGCCAGCCTGGGCCTGGAGGTCTGCTCGGCGGTATCGGCTACGGCGCAGCCGGTGGAGCGCGCCCTCCGCTGTAACTTCTCGTGGTGCTTGCGGAGCCTGTGAACGACCATCACATCCATATGACAAAAGTACATATGCTCACATATCATACTACAAAAGTACCCTATATCTTCGACGTAAACAACCTACCGTTTGCGTAGTCAGTAGCCTAGAGTAGGATGTAACATCCCTCGCTCCAGTCAACATCGCAGGCCTTGAAGAGAAATGATAGGGACTGACACTAAGGCACCGATCGGCAGTCAGACCCATGTGACTCAGCACGATTACCTCCTGTCAATTTTCTCCCCCGCGCCCACTCTCCGTTGCCCGACCTTGGCGTCTTTCTGGTATTATCTGGAGCTTCAGAAACCCTCATTAAGTCGACCTCAACGTCTAAATTGTCAATCGTGGAGGCACCACCTTCAAAATCGATGCCAGCTCATCAAACTCGCTTTCGCGCCTACGCCCATCCACGCACTATCCGCAAGCCGGAGCGTCAGAGGAGAGCGCGTTTACGACTCTACTGGGATCTGAAAAACTGCATAATAGCATTTTCTGGCCGACCTCTTTCGCCCACTCTTCATTCGAGTTCGTGGGGGTCATCTACTTCCCGATGCTTATCAGTCCTTGGAACCTCCAGCGTCAAACTCTAGCGCGTCTCTTGAGCCTCATAGGCTACAAAGACACTCTGAATAAATGCTGAATTTGCTTGGTTTCGCAACCTAGATGACGGGATCTGACCACATCTCAGCTTTGGAGTGTACTGGAATACGTGGCCCATGCACTTCCGGAGGACCGATCGTTCTTGGAATTCTCACTCTCAAGCTCTTAGGCGTCCTTGGAGTCATACACGCTATCGGTCTCCCTCAAACACCCTCTGAGTGACGATCTTTCCGACTTTCCTTGTTAGGCCCGACTTTGTCTTATCTCTCGCGCAAACTGCATGCCTGCCCCGAAGCTGCTTGACATGAAGATTCTACTTGGCTGTGATCGGTGGTGCTACTCTCGATAGTAACTGACATCGTCGCTCCTTGTCCTGCCAAGGTACACAAAAGGCAAAAGACGGATGGTCAAAGCGCACGGGCCACTCGAGGGTCCGCTCAATCGATCGCGATGGCCGGCCACCGCTCATTGGTCGTCCATATTGGATTGCCGTTGATGCGTAGTCCGAGGGATCCTCGGGGCTAGGGGGAACGTCAATTTCGCAAAGCCCGTGCGCTTGGATGAGGACGGGGCCGGCTACTGTCAAAATCTGGCCAGAAATGTGCACCGATCGTGCAGGGAACATTCATAAGTGTGATGCTCCCCGCTTCAGTGAAAGAAAGAGCGGACCCGTGGTCAAAGTCCAGCGTTGTCGACCCTCTGCTTTGACGAATCGACCTCGACCGCCGTCAAGATCCGGACGCTTGCAGTGACTCTCCAACGCCCGGAACATTCATAACTAGGAATGTCACGCTCTCTGAAAGAACGACCGCTGCCCTAGCAATGCACGACCGCTGGGCTTTCTGTGCTTTGACGCGGTCTGTAATCCTTCAAATGCCGAACGGGCCTGAAGCCTTATTCCCCCTACTGCAGCCCAGCACAGCAAGCCTCCTCCGTGACATATCACGCTTTTCCATTGACATTCCGGGCGGAGTTCGGCGACGCAATCAGTCCTGCAGCTGTTTGCGCCTATTTGAGCGACCACTCTCAACCCCAGATTGCTTCACTGCTCACCCTCACGATCTTCTCTACCACTTCTGTCCTCTCATCGTCACAGCCTACGCCATGCAGCCCATTCCACAATACAACACCCCGGCGTCGAGCGGCTGGCCCGCCGAATCCTACCCTGTCCTGCCAAATGCTGGCGGACAGTACCAGGACGGGATGCACCTTGCATCGTACGTGTTTCCGCCGTGAATCCTTCGTCTCCGTCCTCACCTGTGGTCTACAGATTCAATCCCTACCCTTCTTACGACAATGGCGCGCTCGACCAGCAGCAGAACATCGGAAACGATGGGACCCAGCCATCGGCCTTCCCCTACACCCCTTCGGTCCCCGGCAGCTTGTAAGTCTATGCCACCGTGGTTTCTCGCATCTGTGATGCTTATAGTACCTTTCTTCAGCAGCGAGGCCTGCCAGGGGCCCATGCCCTCTCACGACGAGCATCAACCGTCGGACGAGAACACCTGGAACTTGTACGTGTTTTCCCACTCCTTCTTCCGCCCATTGAGCTCATTCACTTCCTTCAGTCCCCAGCTCAACGGGCTCGCAGGTTATCCTCTGGATAACGCGTCCCTGGTGGGTGCTCCGCGAGACTACCATGGCACCGGGCCCTCGACCTCCCTGATCGCTGATGCCTCTGCGTTCCCTATCGAGTATGTCTATTTTATCCTTCCATTCACCACTCCCGTAGCTCACCTTCTGTACAGCTTCCAGCCTCCAGCGCTTCCTGCAACCCATCAGACTGCCTACCCGACCGAGGTACCGGGATCATTCAACCCCTTCGACTCGGATCAAGTCCACGCTCAAGGAATCGAAGGATCCCTGCACCTGGGTGCTAGGTGAGTATTTGCCACCGTGCATATCCAACCAGAACGGCGCTAAGTTGCTCTCAGCTCGTTTGCCCAACTTCCCGCTGCCGACACATCTAACACAGCCACCATCGGGCCGAACGAGGCCTACTCGTTGACGTGAGCTTAATACCATGCCCTTGGTGATTCATGTGCTGATCTTTCTTTCTAGGTATCTTCTCGGCGACACGGGCACGACGCTGGATGATAATAGCATCTGGCCCGCGTCCAACATTCAACTGACAGGAGCATCGTATGTTTCCTGTTTCTTCACTTTCATACGCTAATCACGTTGAGTAGAATCAGCTCCCACCACATTCCTTCCACCACCGCCTCCAGCTCGCGGATTCAAACCTCCGCTCCCGTTCCTTACTACCAGTTCGTGTCATTCTTATTCCCAATCAAGCTTCCATTGATGTTGTTCTATAGTATGGCTGCTCCGCGGGCCGACCGTCACATGCAGTCCCCGTACTCATTGAGTCCTCCCAGGACCCCGATGGCTGGGATGCCCAACATGTCGCATGCCAGACGCCTTGCTGTTCCCGGCCCTACTCCTCACATCCTTTCGGCCTCGGCCCCCCACACTCCTTTCTTGTCTGGCTTGCCACTCGCCTCTACGAGCGCGTCATTCCCGGCTGGCGATCTGGGCAACTATCCCTTCGCCAATCAATACCCTCAGGCAAACCCCCTTCAGCAATCGACCACTGGAGCTCTTGCCAATGCGCCTCCGCCGTCTGCTGCCGATACCTGGTTCTCGCCACCGCTGGAGCCGGTCATCGGGCCCCGACGGACGCGTGCCGGGGTTGCAAAGGCCCTGCTTCGATCACAGAAGGCGAGCAGCAGCAGGAAGAGCAAGATGAACGCGGCCATGGCTGCCCAGACTGCGATCGCGGCCGAGGCTGTCGAAGGTCAGGTCCAGCAGCCTGTCGAGATGGTCCACTGCACGATGCACATGGGAAGGGGAAAAGCGATCTGCAATCAGACTGTGGAGGTCCCGAAGCTACCGAACCACATCCGCGAACACCTGCTCGCGCACGTCGGCCCCGTTGCGATCCTGCACGACGCGAACCCGGAGCGGCTGCACTGCTCGAAGAATCTGATCAAGAGGGCGGACCTGGGCCTCACGTGTTTCTGGCCTGACTGCAAACACGAGTTCACGACTGTGCACCTGAACGACTACACCCGCCATGTCGCGGACGTGCACTTTACGCTGCAGAAGAGCTGCAAGGCCTGCGGACATTATTTCACGCGGTCGACGCTCGCGCACCATAGACGCCAGGGGGTCTGCTCGGCTCTGCAGCTGAGAAACCAGGAGGCCGGCCGACCGCGCGACGAGGCGGATGTTTGAATTTACCGTTTATGACCTCTCAAGACTTATGCATTATGACTTACTGACCTATCTGCGATACACCCCTATTCCATACCATCCCGCGCGACACCTCATATCTACTCATCCGGTGCCTGTATCCGTAGCCCCTCTCATTCCATGTCTACAATAAATGTTTGTATAGTTAATCCTGTGTGTGAACTCTATGGCATTCTAAGTTTCGCTTTGAGGTAAACGTTGTTCCCACTCCGAGTGGTCTGATGCAGCTTTCATCCCGCCTTCCCGCATGTCAGGACGCCGGCCAAGATCTTGTCGGTTTGTGCTGACGACATATATTTGATTGGCGCCCTTTCGGCAGGCCGTCGCAGATGGTCGGCGACGGAGCCAGGATGATGAAGCCGAGGCGGCTTCATGGCATAGGCTAATTGAATAGTCTGATCTCAAAGTTAGTGCTCGAGAGTCAGGCGGGAACAGTGCACTTGCAGATTGCATTCGGCTCTGGAGAATTTTTGGAGCCTCGAATGACGTCCTTTCCAATGCGCAAGTCGACCTGTCCTTATGCGGGGTCACCGGCACACCGTCTCATTCAAGCCTGTACAAGTGAAGTCCGAGATTAGATTCATTTGATTGATGAGCCCGAAACGCGCAGGCTCTTCGCGATGGTATGTGAAGTACAAGTACAGTATCGTACAGTACAGTACTTACTTGCGTGCGCCTGAATATATGCAAAATATGCCTGTGTGTACATTCAATGAACAGTGTGACAAGTGAGTGCGTGATGTGTTGAGAGCATCGCGATCGTAAATGATGAATAGATAGTGAAATGGGTCGCACTCCCTCTAGAAATGCATCGTGTCTCCTCCGTCGTACATCATCGGGGGGTGCAGGCCCCCGAAAAAGTGGTGATCAGAGTCCGAGAAGGACGGCGGAAGCATCGGGGGATGCAGCCAGTCCATCGTATCCTCCTCCAACTCGGGAGTCGGGAGCAGCATCGGCGGGTGGAGATGGTGCGTATCCCGCGTTGCATGCAGCCTCGGCGACCCGGCACCCCCGATCGAATCCTGGTGGCTGAGAACCATGGGCGGGTGCCAGAACGGTCCGCCGTTGTTGTTGTTATTATTGGATGCGGACGACTCGGAATAAACATTCGGGTATTGGGCGAACGGGAATTCCATCGAGAACTGGCTCGAGGCGCTGGTATATCCGTCCCCGCCAAACGAGTTGCCCGAGAACGCGGACGAAGGCGGCTCTGAAGCCGAATCGATACTCATCCGCCGCCTCTTGTTGGCCCGGGCAAGGGTGAGATCAGCAGAAACGTCGACACTGGCGAAAGGAAGCGCATCGGCGAATGCGTCATGATGATATTGGAAAGGAAGCGCCCCGCGATAAGTCGCCCGCCGCGGCAGTTCCGGAGAGACAGATTCGTATTTGGTCGTGCCCGGTGTGGTCGAGCTGTCCGGTGCCAAGGTTGGGGAAGCTCTGCCACTCGAGTTGCTGGTCTCGCCAGGGGGTGTGATTCGACTTCCCTCTCCTGCCAGTCCATTTGACATGCTTCCCCTCCTGGCATCATGCCTAGAGCGCTTCCGAATCACGTCGTTCTTCATCGAAATGGGGCGCGCCGACCCGTGCAGCTTGTAATAGAGCCCGCAAGCGTTGCATACAGTCTTGCCTTCATCGTCCTTGCGCCAGAGAGGGGTCGCCGTGGTATGGCAGTTATAGCATTGTGCTGCAACAGGTGAGCCCGAGGAGCAATCCTGAAACTGGGAAGGACGCACCAACAACATCGACGACCTCTGAACGGGCCGATTGACCGCGGCCTTCGCTTGTGCCCACACTACGCATCGTCTTGGGTCGAGGTCGCTTGTGCTGGGGAACCAATGAGAACGCAAGATAGCGAGCGCAACTGAACAGTCACATACCAGTTTGCAATACAGACCGCAAGCGTTGCAATTCAATTCATCGTTCAATCCCCTTCTCCACAAAGGCGTCCGGGTCGCACCGCAATTGCTGCACTCGGCCTTCTCTCCGGGCAAAGCTCCTCCACTTCCGGCTCCGGAAGCCGAGGGAAGAGCGAAGGAGGAAGAAGGCGCTTCGGTACTGACAGATGCACTGGTGCCTCTGCCCCCGGGAACACGGACGCTGAGCACCGGGCGTCGGCCCACACTGGCACTCGCGCTGACGTTCGCGCTGGTATCCACGCGCAGGGCGACAGAAGACTTCTTCCTCGCAACCGTCACTTTCTTCCCTCCACGTCCAGTCGCAGGAGCCTTCCTGCCGCGACCAGCGGACGCTGAAGATGCGGCCATCGCATTCCTGAATTGGAAGTCCTCGTCGGCAGAATCGTCGCCCCCGTTCCCGTCATCCTCCGAGTCGTCGTCCAAACGGGCATCATCTTCTGCGTCCGAATCCACCTGGACCCGGGCGCCCTTCTTGCCACCGGAAATAGAGAAGACCGACTGCCCGATCTTGGGTGTTGCGCGCCCATGCCCGTGACCGTGTCCATGATCCTCGGGTCCGTGATTGATGAACTTGGCTTCGTGGCGGACAGGCATCCGCTGCGTCTCGTCGTGCCCGTCGTCCTCGCCGCCGCCGTTAAAATTGGGTCCAGAGCCGGTCGGCGTCACCACGTTGCTGTGGCTGCTGCTGCTGAACATCGCGCCGGGGTCGAGCGTGTGCGGGCTCGAGTCCGCAGTGTGTGTATCCAGGCTCAGTAACCCGGGCCCCGGGCCGATCCCGTAGCCCAAAAACGCCTGTGCGTGGTAGCCCGGGTCATTCGGGCCGACCATCGGTCCCATGGACATGAAGTCGAACGTGGGGAAGGGCGGTGTCGGTGTGGAGGATGGGTGGATGGCCGGTGTGCTCGAGAACGACTTGGTCCCGAATTCGAATGCGCCGGTGTTCTGCATGATCTCGTCCCAGCCGGCCCATTCCTGCCTGCCGTGCGTGCTCTCGTCCTGGCTGTCGAGATGGTCCATCTCCATGTCCTCGCTGTCCGCATGCAACAGTTCATCCAGCTGCAGCTCGACCGTCGGGCGCGCGATCTTGAGGTCCCCGTTTCCCCCGCTCGAGATCGTGTCTCCGTAGTTCTTTCTCGGCGCAGACGACAGCTGATTCGCGGGCGCCGCGAGCAGGGCAGAGGGGCCGAACGATGTCGAGAAGACGGTCGGCAGCCGCACGGTGCCAGGCGCGACCGGCTCCGGCGCCGCAGAGCGCTTGCGCTTGTTGAGGTTGAGGTTCGGTGACTGCTCTGCTCCTGGAGAAACCTTGGCGTCGAAACTCCCGATCTGCCCTGCTTGGTTCCCGGTTTGTGCGGACGGAGAAGATGATTCATCAGCGGGGACCTCGACGGCAAACGTGAACTGCATGCGATGCAGTCCGCCACCGGTCTGCAGCTGCGCCGCTTCGCGGGACCTCTCTTTCTCCTCAGCGCGCTGGCGGAGCAGGTCAGAGGAAAGCGAGTGCTTGTTCAGGTCGGGCGTGGGGAGGGACTCGATCGCCCTGTGGAAGCGTGAGCATTTGAGTGACGAGAGCGCAGGATAACACCCGCGGAGGTTACGGGAGATGAGGACATAACTGCCGCACCAGGAAGTGAATAGGAAAGATTAGTACTCACCGTCCCTTCTCCCGATCAAGCTTGTCCCCCATAACTTTGGACAGCTTCCGGAACTCGCGTTTCGACTTGGCGTTGTCGGTATCGACCATGAGGTTTTGGAGGTGCCAGAGGCTGTTAGTGATTGAGCCAGGAGCGCCACGAGTTGTGAAGTTTACTGGACACTCACCGCCATGCCAGGTTCTCTAGTCGTTGGCCTTGCTCGAGGTAGCTGGCGACCTTAGTGCAGACCTATACATGGGCGTCAGGAAGCGTGAGCAAAGGAGTTTGAAAGTGAAGGAAAGGAAGAAGAGTATTCCCGCGTGGAAGGAGGACAAGAAGAAGAGAAGGAGCGCTACACACCTTCCAGGTCTTGGTAAGACTTTCGGCGTCATTGAGGTTGCTAAAGGCAACGAAGGATTTGTTTCCCTGAAGATGGAAATACGAGTGCAGCAATGGGATGGACAGGTACAAGCATCGAAGTGGATGACATGATGGGTAGGTAAGTCCCGCGAGACGCCGGCGGGTAACCAATGCAACGTCGTGGGCGGCGAGTCATGTCGAGTCGGGTCGAGTCGCATGCCATGGGAAAGCCGTCAGTCGAACGCGGGCGAGGTCGAGGTAAGTGGTAACGAGCAAACCAAGAAAGGCAACACGCAGGGCACAAAAAAAAGTCGGCGCAAAAGCGATCGTGAGAGAGAAATGGAGGTGTTGAGGGAAACGAGCGCAAACACGGTCAGCTCCAGCCCAGACAGAGCGCCAGGGAAAGGCTACGGACCTTGAATTTGAGGTTTAGAATGGAGGGCATGCAATGGTCGTTAGAAGGCGAGTCGGTTCGAGCCGGTCGTGAAGATGAGGACTGGTGGGCTGGAGGGCGGAGGCGAGGAGTTAGGCTCTAGCACTGGGGTGTGAAAGAGGGAGGACTCACACCCTCGGTGCTGGCGGTGGTGGTGGTAGTAAGGAAGATGCAGATAAGCGAGGTATCAGGAGTTAGCCAGTACGGGCCCTGATGATGATGGCGTGGACTTTGCCTTGCTGACAGACCGTAAATACATACCCGACTAAGTATGTATGTGCTGTACTTCCGACCAATAAATTACTAATAAAAATACTGAGAAGGGATGTCTGAGGCACGTTTGCAGCCACTGGGCTCTTATCTCCCCCGGACCGACATCCACATAGCCGACTCAGATTCCCGGTCACAAGCGGAACGCGACGCGACGACGCGCACCCACACTCATTAACCACCGGAAGCGAAACACCTTTCGTCAAAATCCGGCGTCCTCTCCCTTGTACTCCGACTTCTCGCAGCACACTGTGCGCATCAGAATCCCCGTCCAGCGTGAGCGCGAATCTCCTTCAGTTCATCGCAGCATGGACGAGGGAGGTTCGCGAACCTTGGGCAAGGGCAAAATCTTCGCTTAACGTGCCTCGAGGCACGGCACAGCTTCCCGAAGACCGGAATCTATGACATCTGTCCGGTCTCAAGCCTCCGGCGCTCAATTTGCGCAGAATAGATGAGCAGAAATGATGCACTCGGTCTGATGCATCAGAAATAAGTGTGGGGCGTCGAGGCAGTGCGTGCGCTCGCATCCAGACAGCTCTTCGCGCGTAAACTTGCATACAACAACGGATTTCTTTCAAAGTCGATACACGGCTGCATGAGAAAAAGGGCCCGAAGAGGTACCGACAAATTTCAGCGACACGGTCACGTGATATGATCTCTCGGCTAATGCCGATGACGCCATCCCCTCGTGTGACGCGCCCATTCTTGATTCGGCCAATGCATGTCACCTGGGGCTGTCTTGTGGAATTCAAGACATGGAGCAAGTCTGTCGACTTGCTGTACCAATGCGCGGGAGAGACCGCGCCTAAACGGGCATAGTATCATTTGTGGACCATCTTTCACACGTCCCCACATATCACACTTCCTGGAGATAGAGCTGCGCTCCTAAGATGATTGACACCGGGTCTACCGGAGCCACGGACCGTGCACACGCCGTAACATCGAAGAAGGCTCGAAGTATGCCTGGACTCGTGACTAAAACTAGAACTGTGCCGGTATGCTCGAGTCAGATTTTGACACCTCTCTGGAACATCTTCGCGGAGAAATCACCGGCAATATTCTACTAATGCGTGTGGTTGTGGCCCGAAACCGCAGCTTGATGAGAGAACAGTGGAACAATGGCATCAAGTATCCGCGCTTGCTCAATACAACCGCAGACGCGGTCTGCTGACCTGCGGCCTAACGTCCTGTGAGACCAAATGAGCGACCCCCGGTCGTCTCCACTCCCCCTTCTCTGATACTGATCCTTCTGATTCCATGTACCAGAGCATAAGTAAAGTAAAGTACAAGGCTACCTAGTCCCGCATTACAGATAGAATGGATACAATAACGTTGGATACAGAAACTTCTTGCGCGCTAATGAATATGCCTATCCTGAAGGCGCGCGGTCGAGCCCCCCCAGCAGCCGGATCAAGTTCCGCTTGCTCTTGGACACCACAGCCAGATGAGCCCTCAACTGCGAAGCATCCAGGAACATCTCCCCACACGACACACACTGCACCTCCTCCGCCCGCATGTGCACCTTCCGGTAGTGATTGAGCATGCGGGTCACACGCCGGCCCCGGCAACCAGTCCAGTAGCATATGCCCTTGCGCGCCGAATCCGTGTCGTGCGCTTCTCTCAGATGCGCAGAAAGGTGCTCCGAATCGAAACTGGATATAATCTCGCCGCACTCGTTCCACTCGCACACGCACATCGGACGGCCAGGCCGCGCTTCCTCGACGACCCTATGTGCATCAGACATTCGTGCCGAAGCGGGCCAGGGACAGCTCGGGACTGCGAGCCCGAGATGATCCCTCGCATGGTCCAGCAAGCGAGTTTCCTCTGCGATAGTACTCCAAGTCCGATCAGCCAAGGCGGGTAGGTCATGGCTGTCAAGCACTCACGGGCCCATATATGCTCCCCTCGTGTTGATAAATCGAGATTTCGTGTTAGCGGTCACGACAGGGCGGAGCGGAAGATTCCAGGAGCGAAGCCGGGGCCCAGATGCGTGGAGCAAAGTCGGTCCACGAGATACATCGTCCGCAAGTCCTGCAAAGCTCGGTTCTGAGGGCCCAGGGAGGTCAAAGACGCCATCAATGGACATAGGAAGGAAGCGAGCTCCATCGACAGGAGGACCGGGATCAAGGAAGTCCGGGACGCTGTATATCGTGGAGCAGTCGCCAAAGAACCCAGAACCGTCGGAGAGCTCGGACGCCCAAGCACTGTTCTCGTCCCAGATTCTATTCTCGACCCCGACTGCGGTTTCCCCAGTGTCTTCCTTCCAACCCCAGAACGCAGATTCGTCCCCCCATGGAGTCTCTATCCAATCCACGATGTTGTCACAACTACCGTTTGCATCCCATGGAGCGTTTCCAGAAAAGTCTGCCTGCTCCCAGTCGAAGTCGAAGCCAGAAATCTCGCCCTGTGCAGGGACCACGGCGTTTTCAGACATGAACTCGCTGGAGCACAATGCCGCCCACAGTTCAGCAGAGTCAGCAGAGTCATTTATCAACGGAATTGCGTTGGCCGAATCCAGAAAACAAATTTCTTCGTCTGCTATGATCGGTGGAGGTTCATATCCGACAATCCTGGAGTGCAGGACCCATCAGAATCAGTCAACAAAGAAGCAAACTCGAACGCACTGGGCGAGTTCCGCCGTTTGCTCGTCCCACCACGCAAGCACATCACTGACACTGCCGGTGCGCGGCATCTCATTCAACAGCGCAGCGCAAAACGCGTCGACCAACGCCAGCGCCTCGTCGTTGTTCATCGCCGGCAACTCATCGCCATCACCACCATGACCACCACGCTCACTCTCCTCGACATCTCCATCATCCACCGCCAGGTTTGGGTCCGCCACGCCCTTCCGCGTGAAGAACGCTGAAACTGCGCTGGCACTCCAAAGCGCAAGCTCGGCAACTATAGCGAGCAGCGACGTGCCCGATTCTTCTTCTTCCTCCCTCCCATTGCAAGCGATAGAAGCACTGCTGCTGCTATCCGACGCCGAGCTGACTTCTAACGCATCGAGCACTTCGAGTTCGTCCTCGAGCGCCTCCCCGTCATTCGCTGTGGCGGGAGCACTAAGCGCTTGGGGAGACCCCTCACACGATGACCCGAATAGACTTTGCAGTGGAGATGCGCTGGAGCTGGGCAGCAGTGACTCAGAGTCGTGCTCTGGGGGTGCAATATGCGTTACGAAATCTTCGTCGTAGGCGCAGATGACGCCGAGAGCACTCGGATCGAATGAAACGCTCTGTGCGTCGGGTTCCTCCGCAACATCAGTGGCGCTTCCCATGTCCGTCCCAAGAGGGTGTGTCGCAAGTCCATCTACTTCCACCGATCCGCAGTCAATGGTGACCGGCTCCTTCTTCTGCTCCTCGTCTGATAGCGTGTCCTCATCGACGCACTCACCAGCCAGCTCTGCGCAGCAAGCCTTTCGAGACAGCGGCGACTCCTGGTATTGAGAGGTGCCGGAGACACGACCGCGTTTCGCGGGTGAAGGGGTCTGAGAGTCAGACGGGGGCGTGTTCTCGGTCCCCCGCAAAGGCGACGAATCTGCGGTGCCGGCGCTGACGACACGGTGGCGCGGGGTGGAGGGCTGGGTCGACAGGAGTGGCGAGCGCGGCGGCAGCGTGCCGGGTGCAGCAGCAGATCGCTCAGGCGAGCCTTCTTCTGGTGTCTGTGGCGGGTCGAGGTTGCTCGAGAGGGCAGCAGCAGTGCGAAGCGGCGTCGCGGGCGTATCGCTCAGCGTGGCCTCCTGCTCTTGCGTCGCGTCTTTCTCCGCCTCGATTGCGGCGCATAGATTATCGCAGAACGTTGCCGACGACGGTGCATGGTCGGGGCTGGAACGGGCGAGTTATTCGACGGTGGACGGGTGAGGAGAGCGCACTCACTCGGGCTCGGCATCTAGCAGCGAGATTTCGGGTGGAGGTGTTATGTCGACGTCTTCATCCATAGCGCATATGCGTCGCGTCTGTTGAAGGAGCACAAAGACAGGAGACGCAGGGGGAGTTGGGGGAAAGAGTGTCAGTCCGATCGCTTCGTTTTGTAGCCCGTTTGAAAGAAGCACATAAAGACATTTCGGGCGATGGTGTCGAGTTATTCATCCGGTAAATGGCCATTTTGAGCTGCACCAGCTCCAGAGTATTCTCTCAATCCGGTCAAAAGAGCACAAAGAGAACCGCGTCACAGATCCGTCACCGACAATGGGAGTGTGACGCTCACAAACGCGATCACGTGCAGTTGCTCTGTGCCACCGACAACCCACTGCCAGGCACAGGAACTTCATCTCTCCCGTGATTTTGCTCTAAGATCTGCTGCGGAACCCGCGACCACGTTTCACACGCCAAAAAGCTGTAGCATCTCTATCAGGGCTGTGTTGCTGATGCCACGCAGATGACCAATTTGATATCTCTACGCGCAGACGTTGGACCATGGGCTCGAGTATATCAGAAACGAAACTCTCCTCCAGAGAAATAACTGCACATGGCTTCTCTTATCTACCTCGGACTGGCGTCCTTGATATCCAACGATCATGCATCCCGTTCTTCAGCGGACGGTCTGATCGTCCCCCGCATTGACGTGGCGAGCCTGGCTGTGACTGGGGGCACCAACTCTGTTCGCGTTCCGTGAGCACTGTTGTCTTTTTTTTTCGTGTTCCAAATCTGACAGCTTGGAAAAGGGGTGGATATGTCCCAAAGGCCGGTCCCACCCATAGGAATCGTTCTCGACAAGTTGACTGACATCTCTCGGGTACCAGATCCCTCTCGCGGCGATCGGTGTTGCACTCTTCGGGATCTCTGGCATCGTTCACTGGATATGTACGCGCTCTTCATCCAGTGCACTAGAGTCTAAGCTCACTGTTCATCCAGATTACTTCACCGCACGTCCTCGCCGCAAGTTCACGTTGAGTCTGACGATTGGCATGTCCGGTACGAGAAGTTTCGATGAGCATTGGTCGACTTCTGATATCATTCACTTCATTGCTTGCAGCCATGGCTCTCGGTTTTATCCTACGAATCGTCTATGCCCTTGGATCGCACACGCTGGGCAAGTACATTGTCATGGACCTCGTACGTCGAAAAATCGATCTGCGCGACTTATACTGACTAAAATCCAGTTTATCTTGCTTTCCGTACGTGCCCTCAGCTGCATGCTCATGGGTCGCGTAACAAACTGAGCTCCAGCCCTGTCTGTTCCTCGTCACCGACTACGTGCTATTTTCTCGCCTGGTCGCCACCTTCCATACCGAGGTCGTCTCGCGCTGCCTGCTCATCCGGCCAAGCCGGATCACGCATATCTTCGTCTACAGCGACGTGTTGACGTTCCTCATCCAAAGCACCGGAGGCGCGCTCAGTGCCGGGAAGAACGCGAACACGGCCAAGCTTGGTAGCAATGTGCGTGGTTCCTGGGATCCTTCAATATCTGGTCAGATACTCATGATATAATGTGCACAGATTGCACTGGCCGGGTTGGTTCTCCAGGCGCTTTCATTCGGGCTCTTCACAGTCCTTCTGATCGTCTTCTCGTGGCGGCTGTGAGTTGCTGTTACCCCGATTCCTGGGCCCGTTTGCTCAGCCTTACAGGGCCACCCATTTCCCCCACATCTGGCACTCAACATCAAACTCGCGGGGAGCTTTCAGACTGCTCTCGACCGAGCCAATCCAAGACTGGCGCATCCTCATCTACATCCTTTACCTGACCTGCCTCGGGATCCTCACGCGGTCCGTTTTTCGAATCGTCGAGTTTGCCGGAGGGTGCGTTTCCATCTAACCTCTGTGAAACTCATGCTTAAGTTGATAAAACGCTCGCCAGGTATCGCGGTTACGTGGCCAATCACGAGGTGTTTTTCTACCTGCTGGATGCGCTCCCCCTATGGATATCGATGACGTTGTTCTGCATCATCTGGCCCGCGCGATGCATCCCGGAAGGAGAGCCTGAGGGAGGTAAAGCCAAGAGCATGATACTCGCAGAGCGTGGGACTCCTGGGTATGCCTCTTCACAAGAAGTCAATTGAGTGCTAGAGATTACTGTACTTGCATATATTGTCAATATTAATAGAGGATTATCGGACTGTCTTGACGCTTTGATATTTCGAGGCGCGATTGTGGCTACGACCAAGAAGCATGATTCCGCCAGTTCCACTTGCTGTCATGGCTTCTGTGCTGGCAGCGAGAGGAGGGAAGCGGTTATCAAGTGTTTGCCGAGTCCAACCTGTCAAATAAGGTCGATGTCCGATTTGACCCGTCTTTCTCACCGCTTCACAACCACATCTTTTTCAAGTCCCTTCGTCAGGCATCTCATCCTATGGAGGCCGGGAACTATATGCTGATAAACGGAGGACGTATCACTGATACGCGATAGTTTGCCGACATAGGATCAATTTCATGATGCGCTCCATGTCATGATGCGCTCTATCTGGACGGCTGAAAACGTTATACTAATGACCGATGTCTGAATCGTGGATGGCCGCTCGGCAGATATTGATCAGATGATTGACGCAATGATCAAGACCCCAGGTAGCCGACTATCGCAATATCGCAACATCGTAATATTCGAAAAGCGCAACATTCAAGATAGTGTAATATTCGAGATAGCGTAGTGAGCATGTAATTACTGTAATTCACTAATCATTTTCGCGGGAGTCTTCCTCATCCGAGAACCATGCGTACAGATCAGGACCAACAGCTTGCCGCAGCTGATTGATACGACACGCACCCGAGCGATCCGTTGGCCGAGAAGCCCTCTAGCAGCGGCGACTTGACACTCAAGTTGGTTTCCAGCATGTACCCCCACTCGCGCTCGATCAGATCAATTGCCCGCTCGCCCTTGCCGGCCACAAAATGCGCTTGGATCTGTCGCGCAGGTGACACGCAAACCACAAACCACCAGCGCAACACGCACCTCGAAGCCACGGCCTGATGGGCGTCCAGAACTTCATCAGCCCGGCGCTCACGGCCTTGTTCTGTGCGTCCGATGTCGTGAGGTTGTACAGGACCGCGAGCGCGTTGCCGTCCTGCGGGTGGATGCTCCTCGGCAGGTCGTTGCTGCGGAACCGGCCCGCCGCGGCGTCCCACAGCAGGCTGTTGAACGCAGTTTTGATCTTGGTCGCGTTGGCGAGGTATGTGGCGGGGAGGGAGACATTGCCGAGATGCGTCGCCAGGTCCGCCGTGGTGACGAGCGTCTACGAGCTTGATGAGCGCGGATACATGATGCGAGAGACAGAAATCAATCCTCACGCGATAAAGCAACGCGTTTGCCGCAGAGTTGTGTCCGGCGCCGCTGGCCCTGCCCCAGTCGTTCGAGAGCGCAGACGAGACGTTCATCAGGCCGGTCAAGTCCACCTGGCCCTCAAGGAAGCCAACCGCCTTGGTGTAGTTCGCCCAGACAGACTTGATGAAATCGAGGTCGCCCGTGTACAGGAAGTAGTTGTGCGTCCCAATGAGCGACCACGAGATGTACGTGTCGCTTCCCTGGTTGTTCAGCGGCGGCCCGGAGTACTGCAGCGCGCCAGTCGTCAGGTTTTGCGTGCGGAACATCACCATCAACGAGTTCTTGGTCGGCTCCATGTCGCTCAGCGCGACGAGCTCCGTGTGTGTGGAGATGCCGCAGTCGCCTGATCCGTCGCATGAGTCCGAGGGTTAGATCGCGTCCATGAGCATGAGGGGTTACCTGGCCAGATGTTCCTGACAGTACCAATGTCATCAGCAGGGATTGCACACACAGATCGCGACCGACCATTCCTCACCTGTCGCGTTTTGCACCATCGACGAGGATAGGCCCAGTGGCAGCTCCTCCCAAGGCATCGTTGGACCAGCCACCTACAAATGTGATCGCACAGTTTGAGTCCAAAATTCAGATCCACGCCGACACGAACCTCCTGCTGGGCACGGCTCCTGTCGCGCCGTGTGGGGAGGGATTGTGTTGGTCTGCACCCTATAGTGCCTGCTAGCGGTCAGCCCCCACCCACGCCACGCTCTGCCACATCAGCCAGCAAACAGGCGATGACGCACCGGCGTACCAGATCTTCGTGAGGCAGTCGATGTCGTGGAACCCGGGGTCAGGTGCAAAGAAGTAGCCCGGGTACGCCCTGAGATCATCCCAGTGGGGCATGAACGTGATCGCCAGCGAGATGTTCGAGATCGTCAGCGGGTCCGCGCTCGCACTCACAATCGTCAGGAAGCGGAACCCGCCGCGCTGCTGTCCCACGGTCTGCGTCAGCAGCCCCGTGGCTCGCGGCACGTGGAACGTCTGGATTCTGTCCCAGTTCTGCAGCCGTGCGGGCTGGCACGAGTCGTCCAACTTGAGCGGGCTGATGAACTCCGCGGACTCGGTGAACGACAGTGAGAACTGCGACTGGGCCGTCGCGTTGTTGATCGTCAGCGACAGGATCCCCCCAAGCTACAGTATGGGTGTGTGAATTGACCCTCGACGGCGCTGTATCAGGGAGGCCGCGCACCTCCTTCCCCAGTCGAACACGACGTACGAACCGCTGCCCTGGAATGTCGCCTGGGAGTCCGGACTTGCGACGAGCCTGCTCGCGCCGGCGACCCGGCCGCTGATCCTATCTCGAATGTTGCGCTTTTCGAATATTACGATGTTGCGATATTGCGATAGTCGGCTACCTGGGGTCTTGATCATTGCGTCAATCATCTGATCAATATCTGCCGAGCGGCCATCCACGATTCAGACATCGGTTATTAGTATAACGTTTTCAGCCGTCCAGATAGGCGCATCATGACATGGAGCGCATCATGAAATTGATCCTATGTCGGCAAACTATCGCGTATCAGTGATACGTCCTCCGTTTATCAGCATATAGTTCCCGGCCTCCATACATCCCGACCCTTCTGCCATGCAGCTCTCAACTGAAGGACTATGATCACGCGAGGAACTCCACGGCACCCTCCTCTCCTCAGTTCCTGCCACATTGATGCTGCCCTCCTCGATTCGTATGTCCGACCCCTCAGTCTCTACAGCATGCGAAGATCCTGACTGGACACTCGATATCTGGACCGTCTGCATTTGCCCGGCTTGTGGTTTTGTGGATTTTTGTGGATGTTCTCAGGGAGCTTTTCGACAACTCGTTCGGCAGATGTTTCTAGCGGATGTTTCTGGCGGTGGGCTGGAACAAGGACACTGTGTTCTTCGTCGTTGTGGCCTAGCGGAGGAGAAGATGGATCCTTGGGCAAACGTGCGGCCAGTGGCGGAACAAGCCAGTGGTCATGCAGCCTCCTTATGCCCACCGCGTCCGCCGACGTGACCCGCTCGAGCTCTTCTCTTTACGTCTCCCTCATTCAGCGGATAGGTCCGGGAATGTGTCGGGCAAAGTCATCTCAAATGGAGGCGTGCTAGCTCATGGTCTGACCTTCTCACGACGAGGATCATGAGCTATCGGATCTCCCGACACATCGCTGAATCTCCAATTTAAGAAGCTTGGATGCACACACGCTGTCCAATGACACTGACCGCAAAAATTTCTATAGAGAGGAGTGCATGGCATCGCACAACTGGTCTCGATGCAGGACCCCATAGAGTCCCGAGCCCTCGGATTCGTCACAGGCAGGTCGGACATATCCTCTGAGAGACACCAGCAAGGCTAAACTGTGGAGGAGCCCAGATAGGTATCATTACGGTGGCGAGAGTAGGCCATTCGAGCGATGTACGGGAACAAGGTGCATAAGGGCTTTGAGAGCTCTCATCAAAGATCCTCTATGAGTTAGGTCTGGAGATCGGCAGCGTAGAACCTGTGCCATCCATAGAGCGTAAGGCGTTTGTGGTTTCGGACTGTCCAAGCCAGGCGGCCCCTTGGATTTCAGTTTGTTCAAAGATTGAATTTGGAAGGTGTCTAGCCGATCGAGGAAGCGGTGATTTCTGCCACTCGCAAGGTTAACGTATCATTTCAGTCGTCCATTTTTTAATTCGGCGGTTCACATCCACAACCGTATCAACTACTGTCGCATCAAGACAGTATATTAAGTGCGGACACGCCGTGATCAGCCAGATCCCCGTCTACAATCTGCAGGCGGATAGTTTTCAAGGGGCTCATTCGGCCGGATGGTGGGTTTCTTTTGCAGAAAGATTGGAAAAGTTATCATTGGGTCCAACAGATGCAGGTTTTTCGATACGCTGATCCCTCTGCGGTCAGCACCCATCTTTCGATTGGCTTGTGCTCTGCGTTGTCTAATACAGTCGTTCTACGACTCCAGGAGTCCGCCGAACACAATTTGTGCTTCTGCGTACGCAGGATGCGCCATCATTGGGCAAGTCGGCTACTTTGGGGCGGGCTTCTGACGTCATGATCGTCGATACAACCTAGAAGAAAAATACATTATGGACAGCCAGGTACATCCCCGATCGGGATCATCGAATACGCAAGGTAGCGAGTGGTTACATGCGCGACTGGCAGAAAGATACACGGTGTACAAAAGGGATGGGAGGACGATACAGTACAGCGCGCGAGCGGTAAGTCGGGTGGGTGATACACAGTATACATGAGCGTTGCAAAGGGGAAGGGTGACTTGGAGCTGGCAGTGGAAGGGGCTAGTGCGGTGTATGCAAGCTAATGAGGAAGAGTGCGCCAGCGTGACTTCCTCTCGCTGCAGTCTCGGGTGACCCGCCCCGATGACCATGCGACGATGCGGCCGGCTCTCACGCCTCCACATGGAGCCAAGATCGCGGAGGGTTTGGCGACGACGATTGCGTGGGTATGGGATGTCGAGAATCGAGGAGGAGGACCACCGGGATCGGTGCGGCCCACATCCCATCGCCGCGGCCTCGCGTGCCCCTCCTCTTCCCCGCCCACGGCGGTGCTGCTTCTCTCCCGGGCCCCGGGCGACCCCTCAGATAATACGCCGGCAGCTCCCCGAGATCAGAGTCGCATGATTCTCCGCCGCCCCAATCTTCCGCTGCTTCTTCGTCCGGCCCCGTGACATCCGAGAGACACGCGAACGACAGGGCGACGCCTAGGGCGAAAAAGACGAGGAGGGAGCACGCAAGGAGGAAGTCGAAGCTGCGCAGGACGCCCGCTAGGTCTTCGAAGAGTCGCGCGGCGGTGTGTGCTCGGTCGTCGCCCGCGGAGGGAGGCATGGTCGAGGCGGAGACGAGGCGGGAGAACCACTGATCGGCGAGTGCAGGCATCCTTGCGGGCGGTGGGGTGAGGGGTTTGGAGGATGAGGAGATCGCACCATGCCTTTAGGAAGTCTTTTATAAAGAGCACAGAAGAACGCGAGGCGGCTGGATCCGGCAAGTGGGGCCGGTTTTCGAGTGATCGCATGGAGATGATACGGACACATATCGGACACTGTGATGTCAGCACCTAAGCATTTCATGGCAACCTGGTCAGCCTGGTCCGTCAATAAGCCAAAGGAAAGATCGAGCATGGGCTAAAGTCGGTAGTAAAAACCGCATCGATAAAATGGTCACGAACTCTCCGTTCTGGTCACAAATGTGACCATGTGGCAGCTTTTGATTAGACTTCGTCCTCTTCCATTCTTTAACTCCACTAGAAGCGGTAAAATGGCTGAAAAATAGGACACCGGCCCGGCGAAAAGGTTGTGGCATGCTACGGCTTCTACCCCATGGGTAAACTACACTGGAGCTGATTTCATAATCGAATCTACAATCAAAGCGACGATGGAAGCTACCCCAGAAAGTAAAGAGGCATCTCAAAGGTCAACCCGGTCGATAAATATTTGTCCAGTGTCTGCTTTCTAAGTTCAGAACCAGAAACTAGTTCCTACTGGGAGGTGGGTTGATTTCATTGGCTTCGATTCCGAACACTGGCACTTGTCCACGGTGCTCGCATAAAGCATCTTTGAAGGTCGATAGTCCTTGCTGGTATTGTCTCAGAGATACAGTTTATCTGATCTATTTAACTCTAATCTAATCTAATCGTTCAAGTACACACACACCAACAACGCGACCATGGCGTCACTTCGATGTTGACTGTGACCTCATGCGAACCATCCTACAGCCAGTCCCAGGAACGCAGAGCTAAATCATCACGGAGGCTAGATCACCACGGTTAGAAGTGGCAAGCCGCCGGCCGCCTGAGCATCAGCGTCACATCCTGCGTAATGGGTCTTCGAACCACCTCTAGTACAAATAGCGGACGAACGCGACTGTCGAAAACACCTCTCTCTCATCAAAAATCACTACCACGAGCATGACATCTACACCAAACGCGCGCGTCCTCTTCAATAGCATCCCAAAAGGTATGCAATCTTCTCCAACTGGCCCGACCTCATCCAACCCTGACGGGTCGTTTCTGAGACTACCCGGTCCCCGGAGAGACGACTGTCTACGATGCATCCGAGACGATCGATCCCGAGAACGTGGACCTCAAGGGCGGATTCCTGTTCAAGCTGCTGGTGCTGTCGGTCGATCCGTATATGCGGGGACGCATGCGGGAGCCGGATGTCGAGTCGTACGCCGTAAGTGACCCCGGGTTGCTTCCTGTAGGCCATTCTGACGCGATTGGCCGAATAGCCCCCATTCCATATCGGTCAACCGTGCGTTTTCGACTCTTGCCCCCCGTTTTCAGCGGTTAGACTCTCCCCACTGCCAGACTGGACGGATACGGAATTGGGATCGTCGCGCGCTCTGAGAACTCGGAAGTCCCCAAAGATCGATATGTCTACGGACAAGTCCGTGCGTCCCATCTCGTCCCTTTCGCCGACGAAGAGCGTTAGAGTTTCTCACCGGCATTTGCCAGCGTACCGACAATACACGGTTTTCCCGAAGCTCAACAGCGAGCAGATGTGGATCCTGGAGACACATCCGGAAGTCCCGCTCACGGCGTATCTGGGGCCCGCCGGCATGCCTGGTGCGTCCATATCTCTATATCCACACACACCCTTGGAGGCTGATTTTTGTCCTTGCGTCAGGACAAACTGCGTTCTGCGGCTGGAAAGAGTTCTCCCAGGCCCAGGCCGTGCGTTGATCTCGCGCCCGAAGCCATCTATGGCGTAAGCAAAACTGAACTTATCATTCCGCAGGGCCAAGTGGCGTTTATCACGACCGGCGCAGGCGCAGTCGGTTCCGTCGTCGTGCAGCTAGCAAAACACGACGGGCTGCGCGTCATCGCATCGGCCGGGTCGGACGAGAAAGTCGAGTTCCTGCGGTCGCTCGGCGCCGATGTCGCGTTCAACTACAAGACAACTGATACCCGCGAGGTTTTGAAGCAGCACGGGCCGATCGATGTGTGCGTTCTATTTTCTCTTTTCTGGTCGCGCGGGGGAGTTGAATTCTAATATGATGGGATACTATGATGCAGCTACTGGGATAACGTCGGCGGGGAAACGACAGACGCGGCCCTCGAGCACACCAAGAACGACGCGCGGCTCATCGTCTGCGGTGCCATCACGGGCTACAACGGCGCGCCGCAGCCCATCACGGTGCGTTCCCTCCAAATCCAATCAATCGCATGTACGACGAAACACATCTTCTTCTCAGAAATGGGACCAGATCTTCGCGCGGACCCTGCACATCCACGGCCTGCTCGTCTTCGCGCTCCTCCCGAAATACGTCGCGCAGTTCTACGAGACGGTCCCGCCGCTGATCGCGCAGGGGAAGATCAAGTATCGCGAAGACGTTACGAAGAGTTTGGACAAGGTTGGGGAGGTGATCCTCGCGGTGCAGAAGGGAGGGAATACGGGCAAGGCGGTGGTGGTCGTGGCGGAGGAGTGAGCAACCCTTGAGGCCAACTGGGGTGATTATTATGAGCATCAAGTCTAAAATATGGTAGCCGCCGAGGGATATGTACAGTAAATGTAATTGGCTGACTCGAATGTCAACAGTTGAGGCAGACGTCAACTGTTAACTCCTTGCTCGTGGTCCTGAGTGATGTGATTATGATCAGGCGATTGAATATCTATGATACATACATTCAAGAAGTCAAGTATTCGCAAAACAACGAATGAGTACCGGAATCCGAATTTTATTATTCCAGGCAGGGGACATATGTTCCTAGGACTCTGATCGTCGCGGGCGTATGATGTAGGGGTATCATGCTCGCTTTGCACATGTCTGTGTTTGCGAGCTGTCCAGGGTTCAAATCCCTGTGCGTCCATTTTTTCTCCCTTTCCGTCCGAGAATTTTCTTATGGTCCTTTATACCGAAAATTGTACGCCGTGATAAGGTTTAGCGTGGGACACTGTGGCGCCTGCAACTGTCTTCGGCCACCGGTCCTCGATTCGCACCAGCGACTATCCACGAAATTCTAATGCGCTAGCGATGCTCTCGGTGATTGCGCCTGGCCGCCCGTGGTGGTTGGGCCCGCAATGCCATTGATCTCCCGGATACACTCATCCGAGTCCATGTTCTCAAAACGCCTCAAGCAGGTCCGTATGTGCATCAGAGCCTTTTACGCCGCCCCTCGTGTCGCCCCCTCCTTGTTCTCGGCGACCTCGAGGCTGCGGGGTTTTGATCAGGGTCAGAAACGCTCATCGGTCGACGGCGCGGACGCGCGCTTATAGAAGAGGTTGGGTCCTTTGACGGCAAAGCGCACCTGCTCCCCGTCTTCGTGCTTCTGGTGGTCTCATGCCGCGAGTCAACATCGACGACATCCCGATAGAGCATGGTTGATGGATCCAGGAGAGGAAAAAGAATGAGCCATAGCCCTAGGATTTAGTCAAATCCGTTTGGCTGTAGCCATAGAAATTGCATTCAAATCTATGGCTGTAGCCATAGGGCGTGGCGGTGCTGATGTGAACAACGATCATTATGATCGACAACCTGTGATTGTGATTGACACCCAACAGCTAGGCAGTGGTTTCAGTGAGGATTGAACGGCTGACCTTCTAAAAATGTAAGTTAAACCAATGCATTATCATACTGAGCTAAACCGCTGTTAAACATTTGGCAATTTCCCTCAACTTAGGGTAACCCGCAAGCGGCTTACCCTAAGTGGAGGGAAAGCTTTATCCTAGTACTGGTTATACCAACCCCTTATCACCCAATAAACATATTTCTTGCCCCAACCAACCCTAATAGAGCCTCTAACAGGATTTTTTTTTGCTCCCTTGCCCCAACCCTAACTGACAATAAATATATTTCTTACCCTAACCAACCCTTACAGAGCCTGTAATAGGCTTTTTTTTTGCTACCTTGCCCCAGCCATAACTGAGAAAAAATGACGTCTCTGGGGACTAACCTTTAACCCAAACCCAAACCCTAGCCTGAACCACTAACCTCCGCGCCCAGAGGGGCGCGGCTTGTTGAAGACAGTAAGGCCGATCAACACTTTATGTTGAGGGATCATGGTGGTGCTGATGGCAATGATGATCTTGCACATGCCATGGTGATGCCGAGAAAAGCAACAGGACCAAAGGCCTGCCACGCTATGGCTGTAGCCATAGCAGTATTAGTCAAAGCTATGACTGTATCCATGCTATGGCTACAGCCATAGATTTGAATGCAATTTTTATGGCTACAGCCATAGATTTGACTAAATCCTAGCACTATGGGTGAAAGAATCCAATACGTACTATGAAAGGAGAGGGAGTAGTTGCATTCAAAGGGAAAGGGATGCAAAATATACAGCCCCGTTTCAATGGACGCACAGGGATTTGAACCCTGGACAGCTCGCAAACACAGACATGTGCAAAGCGAGCATGATACCCCTACATCATACGCCCGTGGGAGAGCGGCACAGAGATAGGCTGTAGATTGCTCTACTAACCAGAAGCATCCAGCGAGAACCTTGAATGTGTTCGAGCACATATGCTACTTGTATCAACAGAATAAACACAAGTCGAACTCGCTGATGGCAAAGTAATTACGCAAATGGGAGCTAGCGCATCGAGGAATTTCAGTTCAGTTTTTCTGGGTACACAGATGGTGTCTGGATTACATAGCATAAATGGATGGTTACTTACTACAATGCTCTGATGATATAAGATGCATATAAGATGCGATGGAAAAGACATAATATGAGATGGGGCCATAAGTATCATAAAGCTTAACATCGATCCACTCGCCAACTCGAAGCGGTCGGATCCAAGGCTCCCTGGCAGCAGAGACCTCCTACGCGCCCCGGGGCTGGCTCGCACAGGAACCCTCCGCGATCAGATGGGCCGCCAGATCTTCCAGAGACGGGAGGCACCCATGACACGACCGGCACTCGTAGTGCTCCGAGAGCAGGTGGTCCTCCATGATATGCTTCACAACCTCGTGCACGCCCGCCTCGCCCTGCACGCCATACTTGCACACGCCGATCGCGCCGGCGCGGTCCAGCGCGCGCCACGGGCACCCGAACACCCTCGCCCCGCCGTCCCGCAGGCGCGCCGGCGACCAGCCGTGCCGCTTCGCGAGCTGCTTTCTGATCTGCGTCTTGTTGAAAGTGATGTCGGTCACGGCCTCGCACGAGAGCGACGGGTCCGAGGGCGCCTTGCCCTTTTCCCACATCGCGAGCCGCCACGTCGCGAATTGGTTCGCCACCTCCCGGGTGTTGGCGGCCAGGATCGCCAGATGCGGGATGGAGTCTTCGGGGAACAGCTGCGCAAGCTGTGTCCGCCGGGAGTGGAGATCGAAGGCGCCCTGGAATTGGTCCCGCGGACCCAGTCTGCGGAACGTGAATATCTCAAAGAAAGAAACACATCGCCGGAATGATAACGCACATGTTCAGGAGGTGTTGGTTGTACACCATCTGCAAGTAGTCCGGCGAGAAAGTCCACAGCTTTTCGGGGACATCATCCGATTTTGCCCGTTTGGAGGGTGCCGGGACCACTGCAGCTCCAGACCTGTTGGATGATTAGAAACCTCGTCATAGCTTGGCCGTGCGTTACGCACGCTGCATGGAATGCCGAGAACTGCGGCCCGTCTTCGTATTTGCGTTTCAGTCCGGCGACCGCAGGATCAGGGAGCGCTCCCGATCTACATATGGAATGCGTTAAGAGCGGGAAGAGGCCTCGGGTAGAGACGTACACGTTGAGGCGCAGCTCCGATCCGGATGGTCGATGAACTTGCCCATGGGAATCAGTCGATGGGACTTCTTGGAGGCGGCTCGGGCCAGCGAAATTCTGCTGCCCATGGCCGTTTTCAACAGCGTATCTAGTCGCTCATCCGTCAACAAAAGCAGAATCAGGGGCAAAGTCAACAATGAAGTACATGGGACGCGCTTCCGTGATGGCTTGTTCATCAAATGCGACGACTGAATATTTCTGACGCACATCCCCGTTATTGTCAAAAACAAAAGGAGCGGGGCTACAATAAATCAGATCCGATTCGAGAGCCGTGAATAAATAAAATCAGACGCACCGCAAAGCATTGCCCGGCTGCTGTTGTTCCCACATCCCACCAAATCCCCCGCCCTCGCTTGCCGGCTCGCCAACATCAGTTGGCGACAGAGCCGTCTCGTACACTTCTTGTCGATTATCTTGGAATGCGGGGGACGACCCGTGGACGACTTCATTGCCCAGCTGAGGACCGGCGCCACCCGCGGCCTCGGGGTGGGCCCAAACTCCAGTACCACTATCCCACAAGTTCTCCTGCAAGGTAGAGCCATCGTCGGTAGGTGCAGCTTGGTCGAAGACTTGGTTCTCCTCGAAGTTTGGATTCGGATTCGCCTCCTCGCGATAGTGGACGACATCGCCCTGCCGGTGCCGCAGCCCGCCCATCTCAGCAGCCAAGTCCTCAAACAACGACCGAGGCGCCACGTTTTCCTGCCCGACGTCCGCCTCCCCAGGCTGCGCCCCACGGACATCCTTCCCCGCCGCAGACTCGCCGCCCTCGAAGCCTCCGTCTCCGTTTCGGTTTTGCGCAAGAGGCTGCTCACCATCAACAGCGAACATCATGTTCAGGTCCAGCTCCGACAGCTGCTCCCAATAAGCGAGTGGGTTAGCGTCTGCAGGGCTCCCGCTCCCGGCCTCCTGCCAGCCGCCATAAAAGAGGGTGTTGGTGCTGGTGTTGGTGTCGCTCGCCGGTTGCCCGTGCTTGGATGGGACCGAGGGCCCGGCCTGCGAGGGGTCCACTGCGCCGCTCGCCGCCGGGTCGGGCGGGAACTCCGCCTCCGTCAACGCGAAAAGGTAGTCCCATGCCGCGGCGCGTCGTTCAAGGAACGTGAAATGCTCCTCCACCACGGGCAGGTACTCTGCATAATCGTTAGCCTCAGTAGATCCATCTATCCGAATCCGAAAGTCTACTCACCCAACGGAACCTCCAAATCAGCCGCCCCTCCCGCATCGAATCCGGCGAGCTCATCGAGAGGCAGTGTGTGTGGGTGTGTAGGAGAATTATCCATGAGTGTGTCGCTTCGGACGATTCACAGCAGTAGAAGAACGCGTATGAGCTAGGCCCAAGCATAGCAGCGCGATCTAAATGGGGTCACGGGACACAACAATGATGTGGTCACGTGATGGTTCATGATGCGTTACCGTGACAGATCGTGTGACGAATGCTTATCGATAGTCTTCGATTAGATCCTGAGGCGCCATCTGAGACACAGAAGACTCGGAGAAATGCAGAGCAGTGGACAGGTGGGTTGTCAATGGGTGGCGCGGTCCTTCCGAGCACAGATATTCGAGACACTAGAAAGAGCAGAAACGCCGTGATACGTGCGATGCATGAGCTCTGTTGCTGAGTGCACTGGGTGGCGGGACACAGCCAAGCTGTATGTAGTAGAGCAGCAAACCGTACTGGACAGCGATTCCGATCCGATGGATGGCCAAGGCGGGCTCGTCTGGTACAGCTTTGAAGGACTGGCCGGGAGAGCTTGGAGCCCAGGTCAAGGGCTGACGGCTTTGACACTTCTCTAGGCGCTGCCGGCTGCTAATCTTCTTCGACGGGCGGACTTGAGAGAGCCCCCCTCTTCAGGGTCATTCACCAGCAGCAAGAAAAAGTCGATTGATTGAGGGAAAGTATGGTACATTCGAGGAGACACAGCACAACAAGAAACCACGCACAAGGACAAAAGAAACAGCAGCACAAGAATCGCCATCCATAACTTACACACGCAGCGAAACAACAAGAGGCATATCATCGCATCATCATGAGCTCTGGGACTTGATGAACTCGAGCGCGAGCTTGGGGCTGCAGGCACAGTGTGTGGGTTCGTAATATGCAGGCGGCCAACGAATCGCGCACCTGTCCGCGGGCTTCACCGGCATCTTCTTCTCCAACAGCTTCCCGCCCTTGCCGAACACGAAGTGGCTCCGCTTGGTCTTCCCGCCGTCGCCGGCGCCAAGCGCCGTTATGAGCACGCGCTTCGGGTCGGAGAGCAGCGGATACGGGAGCTCTTTCTGTTGACGAAAGTGCGCGGCCGTCAGAATCAAGCAGAGGCCCGCCCCAAGGCATTCCCAGAGACGGACGGACCTTCGTCTGCCATTTGCTCTGGGCGGCGGGCTTGTCCGCGCTCAGGCAGTACACGCCATAGTTCAGACCCGTGAAGTCGGGGTATGCGTCCCGAAACCCGCACGCCTGTGTCGTGCACCCCGCTGGGGGATGAGTAAGCTCGAGCGTTCAGCTCGCTATGAAGCTCCAGCCACATACGAGTATCAGCTTTTGGGACGAGGAATAGCACGAGGCCCTGGTCGGCTGTGAGCGTGGCCACGTCGAGATCCTCGTCTTTCTCGTTCTTGAGCGTGATTGACGGCAGCGAGTCACCGATGTCGATTGCTGCGAGCTCCTTTTCGGTCTTGTCATTCTGGGCTGCAGGCTTCTCGTCAGCTGCTGCTGCTGCTGCTTCAGGCTCTTCAGCTTCTGCTGCAGGCTTTTCGGCTTCTGCGGCAGCCGGCTCGTCCTCTGCGCCCTTCTCTTCAGCCTCAGCCTCGAGTTTCTCCTTCTCATCCCCCTCCTGCATTGGCTCCTTCTCCATCTCCGATTTCTCCTCAACTGCCTTGGCCTGAAAAATACCCAATTAAACACACCAAAAACAAAAGTCGTGAAAAAAAGGCACCTTTTTCGTATTCTTTGCAGGCTTATCGTCCCCATCTCCGCCCGCCTTCCGCTTGCGGCTCGCGGACTTGGCAGCCTTCTCGTCCGCAGCGCTCTGGCTCTCCGTGCTCGCCTTCACCGTCGACGACCGCCCGGAGCGCCGCGGCGCCTCGTCGCCGGACGAAGCGGTGTTTTTGCGTGGGGCCATTATCGATGATGGGGGCAGGAAACAAGCGCGGGTTACCTGTACAGTAAGGAACGTCAAATTTGAAACAGATGCATAGATAACAGCGAGGGTAGGTGTGTATTCAAGGTATGTAATGTAGGTACAACTATGTACGTATAATGCACGACGACGAAGAAACTATAATTCCGGTGAGTAGTAATAGAAATCCGTCCCTGCGCTCATCGGCTGTCAAGCGCAGACGAAGATGTCCTTCGAGAAAGATACGGGCGCGGCGAGCCGGGCACGACAGGGCTCCCTGGCTGCTCTGGGATCTGGCCGGCACCTGGCAATGGTGCAAACGACGATGATGTCGGCGATATCAGGCTCATCAGCGAGGCACTCGACGACCGCCGAGTGACGTAAGGTCGCGGGACCGATTTCTCGACGACAGGCGAGACCGGCTCCGGGGGAGGAGGGCTCTCCGGGGCTGCAATCTCCATCCCGTATTCATCTGTCAACGGTCGTGGGGGAGGTCGCTCGACCATAGCTTCCAAGAGCTGTATATCTCGCATCAGCTTATTGCAACAGTAAAAGTTGAAGCACAAACCTCCTTCTTGAGATCCTCCCCGGCGTATTCCCCGTCCATCTCCTCCGGTCCAAGCAAAATAGTTCCTTTGCGGAAAACCTCGCCCTCCTCCTCGACCCAGCTCTTCGATCGGCTGCAAGTGGATTCAATCGTTGGAAGTAACTTGCAGTGATAACATCGTCCCAACTTACCTGGTCGTCGGCGAACCTGGCTCGGATTCCTCCACATGCAACGGACCTTCGCTGTCAACATCTTCGTCGCCTTGACCCATAAGCAGCTTAGTCGGGCTGAGAACCTTCTCCGGTTCTTCCGGCTCCGGAACAGCGCGCGCCTTTCCTTTGTCGATCCGAGGTGTCGACGGCGGTTCATCCGCTGTCGGGGCAACGCCATTCGCTGTCGGCAGCGGCTCGCCATTGGTCGATTTCAATCCAAGGCCTTGCAGGGTCAATGTCGGACGCGCAATCGCATTCGTTGGCAAACGGGTGATGAGAGCCGTCAGCGTGTCATTGGCGTCCAGTAACTCTTCCATGCGCGCTGGGTCGTCCGTAGCTTCGATCACGGCGCTCAACTCATGGGTGAGCGCACGAGCTCGTTTCAGCACATCTGCGGGAGATGCCGCCGGGTTCTCCGTAGGTGTTGTTGCTGGAGAAAGCATCACTTGGAGTTGAGCCGCGCAAGCATTAGCACGAGCGACAACATCTCCTTCGTGCTAAGAAGAGCGAAATTACTCCACATAGACAGACATAAGAGAAGCGGAAGCACACACCTTCCTCTCCTCCCCTCTCCTAATCCCTTTGGCGAGAGCACTCTCCTCTATGAGGCCCCACACACCTTTCCCATAACCTCTACCATCTGGGTTTGCAGAGGTCGGTGTCGACAAGCCTTCCGCTTCACGGGTGGCAGCAGCCCGTTTCTCCGCATCCTCCGTGTTGCGGACACAAACATTGAGGATGTCCCGGCACATCCGAGCACATGCTTCATCACCAGGGGGGATATTCAGATCCAGACAGCGCATGACAAAGTTGGCCTCCAAGCCTTTCGACAGCGCGAGCACCCCGGCGATGTCAAGCGCATTCTCGGTCAGATCAAGATGCAGCAGAGATGCACTCTCCGGCAGAAACTCGGCAAGTGCAATTGCACCTGGCGATGTCAGCCCCGTCGAGCTCAAAAATAGCCTTTTCAGGGCCGTGTTCAGGGTGAATGCTGTGCGCAAAGATTGGATCTGGCGTCAAATGAGGTCAACGATTCCAAAGTGAATAGGATGCCGTACCCCTTCTAGTCCGGGTCCAGAACAGGGGTTCTTGGACAGATCTAGTGTCTCTAGACTCGAATTATATTTCTGCGGCGAACTGATCAGAGCGGAGTTCAGGAGCAAAAGACGAACCGCACGCACCAGCGCCTCTGCCAAACTAACCAGGCACGCCACGTCAAGTTTGTTTTCGGCAAGATTCAGAACTTTCAGAGTCCTGTTCCGCTTGAGAACTTGGGCGAGATATGTTATCCCTGTCTAGAATAGGATGAGATGGGTAACATCGGATGCGGCACGAGAAGCACACCCTCAAATCATTGCCCCTCAGATCCAACGTCCGCAAAGCTCCCACTCGAGGCAGCGCGTCCAGGGCCCGTACTTTGTCAAGCAGAGCAGCACTCGGTCCGTCTCTCTGCTGCTCTTTGAGCTCCCGTTCCCGTTCAGCCTGTGCACCCAAGCCAAGTCCGGGAGTCACTGAAACAGACGGGACATGCCGGGCAACAACGCCACCCGATACGCTGCTGGCAACGACGGGCCTGCCAGCAGGGACCGCAGACGCGGTCTGCCTTCGCCTTGGCACATAGGGCGTATAGGTCGTCTGGGCTGCGGTGATCGTCTGCGCCGGGTGTCGCGGCGGCGGGAGCTTCCCGGCCATGGTGGGCGAGGTAGGGAGAGGTGGGTGCGTGGATGTCGGAGAGGATGCGGCACTGCTGCTGTTGCTGCCCGTGCCGTTTTCATGCTGCAGATGCGATATCGTGGGGGACGCATTCGACGAGAGCACATCCGGGTAGTCTCTGATCATCAAAGCCAGAGCCACTCCACCGGCAGGCGAGATCTTGTTGTGCCGGAGTGATATGTTCCGCAGATTGGACGTGCGAACGGCTCGACCTGGAGGATGTCCATGAGTAAAAAGCGGAGAGACGGACTGCCCACGCACAGAGAGCCTCCAAAGCACCAGCCCGCAGCGCACAGTCATCCAGTTTGAGAGAGATCAGGCCACATGCCCCACTCTTTCGCTGTTCACGATCTTTCTCCATCTCTCGTAACTTGGAATCGTCCAAGCCATAGCCAAGCCCATAGCGCGGTTCCTCAGCAATTTGATAGAAGTAACTACTTTCCCTTCGAGGCTCTTCGTCATTGAGCGAAAGAATCGATGGCGTTCTAGAGGTGCTCGTTGATAGCGTAGGATGGGCGACATATTCCGGCAGCGCAACGGCGAGACACTCGACAGCTTTCTTGTCCAGAGGGTTCTGAGAGAGGTCGAGGAATGTCAGGGTGTGAGCCTGGATGCAGAACGAAATCGGTCAGCAAAAGAAGATAGCAGAACCGGTAGCGGAAAGTGGAAGAAGAGTACGAAATGTACGCAATGGCATAGTCTTAGCCCACTTTGGCTCCACTGCTGATAAGATAAGCTCGCTCGCGTGACCATCGGCGGTCCTCTGACCGGAGCGGACCAAGGCACATCTGAGGGTCGCGCAGTGAAAGGTATTGAGACTTCCGAAAACGGATCCCCATAGAGAGAGAAGCGACGATGGATACAACGTGCTCACCTTCGCAACGTAAGCCCCGAGAAGTTTCCACGCGTTGTTTTTGAGACGCCTGTTGCTGGCCAGACTGAGATAGGCAAGGGAGCGTGGAATGAGCAAAGCGTGCAAAATCGGTTTGAGAGTCTGTGTGAAGCATCAGCACGGTGTTGTTCTTCGGAGGCGCAGTGCGGGGCGTGAGAACAGCACAGGGGCATTGGACAGATATTTGGACGAGACTGGAATCCAAACGACATACCAGATCGTCAAGATCGCACTCTCGGAAGACAAGCTTGCGCAGTCCCCATTCGATTTTGAGCACTTCGGACAATATGGAGGCACTCGTGAACGTTAGCTGGGCACCGGACAAGTCGACAGTGCGTGGATGGGCAGGGGAGGCGCTCTGCGTGTCGTCAGTCTCGAGCCGGAAGCTCCAATATCACAAGCACATACCTTCAAAGCGGCGGTGATGCCGGGGTCCGGTGTCTCTTGACAACCTTCGCAGCACTCCCGGTAAAAGCTCTCGACCTTCTCCAAAGGCCACCACTCCTCTTCTGTCCCGCTGCCTGACGTAGAGACAGTGACTGTACTGGCCGAATCTGAGGTGACGCTTGACGTCAGACTATTCGAGCGCACGACTCGCCGCCTCCGCTCTCGTTCCCGTTCCTCTATAGCGCGCTTCTCATCCCTCAATGCCGGAGTCGAAGGCGGTGCGATGCTTGATATCGGGTATACGACCGCAATTTCAGGGAGGATGAAATGGGCCCGTCTGAGCACTCTCGTCGAGTCTTCTTTTCCGCCGCCGGCGCCCCCAGCGCCCCCAGACCCAGCTCCGCCCCCGCTCTCTCCAGGAAGGAATCGGCTGATGCTGAGCCGCGAGAATAGAGATGACGACTGCGCGGGTGGCGGTTTCTTGAGAATCGACTTGCCCGGAATGGGTATCCGAACCGCGGACGAGGAGGGCGATGGGGAGGGGGACGGCCCGAGCGATGGCGAGTGTAAAGACATTACTCACACTTGGCACATGCGCACGTTGCGCCGAAATTCGTGACGGGTATGAGGGGATCCTTTGGGAGAGGATTTGAAATTGTTTGTCACCCCCGCTGATGGTGGTGATGCGTAACATTGATGCTAAGAGGGGCGGTGGTTAACTTGTTGCCACTATCGGTGCGTGCCATGTAGTTTGCCTCGAAGGCTGCATATACTTGGGCTCATCCTCATCTCACGATCAGTTATGTGTGTATCCAACCTTCCATGGATCTAAGCAGCTGTCAAGACACCTGGGATCAAATCTGTGAGGCCTATGTGCCTGTCCCTACATACTGCCTGCTCCGAGGAGTGGAGTCCACGGTTGCGCTATATTCATAGACCTCAGCAATCATTGCTATCCATCCATGCCGGACGCTCAGCAGCCGAATAAACCATTGAATACGATGGCCTTCTCGCGTACATAACATCCCACCACAGAAATGACTTATACTTTTTAGCCATCGCCATCGTTTAAATGGCACTCAGCTCTCCGCGGCAGAGCACTTCACCCCCATGCCTTCGCTCTCCTCAACCTCCTTGTTTTCGTGCCTGCTCCTGCTGTCGTGTATCCTGCAAGTCCATGGCGAATGGACGCTACATCGCAGCGACCTCGGGTGCAGATTCAGTCTGGCTGCATGGAACATGACGGAGCAATACACGAACACGACTATGATGCCTCTCGTACTGGCGAACAATGGTATGCGGTCAGCGCTGTCGTCTGTCGTCTGCACGATCTCACCTCTCGGACACAGCACCCTTCGATGGCCCAAGCTATGAGATTACCTCTGTGCGTCAACATATCAACGACCGCGTGTAGTGCTAACGAATGCAATTCTTGCAGACCTTCGCGTCGTATCCCGTCAACGTTTATCCAACTCTTTCCCTCGTCAACGGTTCTTTGCGAGCCTACCGTGCTTCCGGTGCCTGGCTCACGAACGCCACTGCCGTACAGAACGGGGACCTCCTCACCTGGTACACCAGCCCGCTGTTCAATCACGATGCGGCCAGGATCTACTCTGTCGTACAATCGCCGGTCGGCATGTCTCTCTCAGCTTACGGCGAAGCGGGTTTGTGGTTCCTTTGCTCCATCCAGTCAAAGTCCACGCCGCCGATGATGAGTGTCGTATTCAATCTGACGCGCGATTCGCATGTCGACGTGGTGGATCCTGATGCATGCTGGAGTACGCGAATCACTCTGGTTCCTGTGGCTGGTTCTGGTGCGTTCTCCGATACTTTTCCTTGTGCTATATTCTCATATACTTGTCTTTCAGCTTGCTGAGCGACCCGAATGCGAAACATTTTCTCCTTGTAGTACACTCTGTGTCTGTGTCATGCGTTATACGATTCATCTTATCTTTGGTCTCTGTTATTCCTGGAGATGCTTGACGCACAACAGCAGATGTTCACCCTTGAATGCCGTCATAGAGTCTGTTGGGGGAAAATCGTACCCTGGATGTCATATGATGGACTGTGGCATGTGGGAGAATCTTCATGGTTGCCCAACCGTACGGCATCCGCCGAAGATTTTGCTGTCGGCACTGAACGGCAGTGAATGTTCGTGACGACCCTGTCTCAATCTTGGATGTTCTCCGGCGCAAACCTATCACCAGCGTGCAACATGCAAGATTGACACGGTCTTTTCGAGGGACCTCATGGCTGCGATGAAAGTGACTACCTAGCAACAACCGCACGCACCCACGAACTCCGATCAGGTCAGCACGACGAGGCGTCTCATGGTGTGGCGTCTTTGGACGCATGACGAGCATGCGAGTCACTTGGCGCGTTGGGCTCCACCACTGTCCGAGCGTCGGCCATTTTCGTAAGAAACTGGAGGCTTGCATCATCACCTGTTCGCAGGGAACAACGCGCCCGACAGACAGCACGTATCTCTCTCCCGCTTGACAGCATATCTTATTCTCCTGCCAGGCGCACTGTGCGCGGGGGACATGAATCGATCTGTCGATGCAAATCTGTCCACTCCGGCAAAGGAGTGAGGACTCCCAGGCTGGCGGCTTCTGAATCATCACTTCTGCTCGATATCCACATCTTCTGTGTCGGCGCGTTGGATGGGGAAAGAGCAGTTCCCTGCGACAGCTGTACGGCTCCCCGCAACCCAACTTGGGGCTGCACATGCCGCATCTAAGAACGATCGATCTCCAGTCCACGGCGAGCGAAACCTTGTTCGACGAACACAGTGACTTGATGAGAAGAGCCCGGACAGCAGAAGTTCAGTGAAGAAAACCAGGACTTGGCTTGCATGTGGGTAGAGCTGGCCAGTCTGTCGGATGATCAGTGAATATCAGAAGATGGAGTGGGCATCTGCAGTCCAGGCAAGATCTTCCGAGAGTAGAGAACGATGAATCGTGAACGAATCTTCATGGACGCATGGGGACTTGGGCCCTGAACAGCTCACAAACCCAAGGTGGAGGGGCAAAGTGAGCATTATGCCCTACATTATATCCCCGACACAGTTCCCACCGACCAGCAGAGCCGATGAAGAACGACTGTCAGATTCTGAGCACATCGCCCAGTGTCCCTCTCAGCCTCTTAAGAAGATCCATCACACGAAAAAACCAAGGGCGAATCATTCATCACATTCGAAGATCCCAGTCCCAATTTCCAAGCTCTCCTCATATGCCGCCAGCCGCACACGATGACTCCTCTCCTTCACTGCCATTCGCTCTTCCCTCTGCAAGACCTCAACTCTTCTCCGCCGCCTAACCTCCGGCGGAACGTCCGCAAACCAGCTCCTGCGCACGACCTCCACCGGCATCCCCGCATACGTGAACCGCGGCCGCAACCTCATCCTCCTCTCATCCTCGATCTGACACAACTCCTCGATCTGCGCCCACGTCGGGGCGAGCCGGACGAGATCGTGCGAGATGCTGCGCTCGTGCGCGATGGATTCGCGGCGGCGGCGGTCCCAGCGCGTGACGTCCCCGCCGCGATTGAAGCGGCGCAGATGCTCGCCCGCGCGGTGGTCTGAGCACTGGAAGAATGATCGGCGGAGGGCCGGCGAGCG